GCAGTTGAGTATGTCTGTTGATGCAACTGTAGATATATCTGTTCCTGAAGCAGACGAGGATAGTGAGTCTGTACATGAAGCAGAGGGGCCAGAGGTGAGTAGAAATGAATATTTACATGAGGGTGGTTGGCAAAATGTTGACAACCCTCTGCATGAGCTAGAGTTTGTACAAAATGAAATGCACAGTTTTCATTTAGATCAAGAACATTTAGAGCATCGACAATGTATAATGTGTAAAGAAGCTTGGCCGACACGACAGAACTTAGCATCAGAAGTATACATTTGTTACCGGTGTAAAAGAGACAAGAAATCACCCAAGAAATTCAGTGCAGAGAATGACATGGACCCAGGAATAGTTCCTGAACAATTGAGAGGTTTGACACAGGTAGAAGAAATGTTAATTTCAAGGGTTTGTCCCATTATGAGAGTGTATAGAAAACATGGGGGTCAGAGGGGGTATAAAGGACATGTACTTAACTTACCACAAGATATTCAAAGTTTCTTGAATAGGTTGCCTTCTCGTGTGGCAGACTTGCCTGTCTTGATTGTGCGAAGACATGGTGCAGAAGACACACATCGAGACTTTACTGTGCGTCGACACAAAGTTCTTGAGGCTGTACTATGGTTAAAGACAAACAATCCGTTCTTTAAAAATATTGAAATTGATAGAGATGTCATCCAAAGTTTACCAGAAAATGGTATTCCTGATGAGCTAAGGTATGTCATTGATGAAAATGAGCTTTCAGTTCATGTTGAAAATGAGGGGCCTTCCCAAGACCCAGTAATGAGTGCTAATGCAAGTGTGGAAGAGTTAGTTTTAGGAAATGGCACTACATCGTTTATTCCTATGCGTCAAAGACAGAAAAAAGAAGGTGCGGCTATCCAAGATGCAGTAAATGAGGTTGATCCGTTAGACTGGCCATCTACTGAAGGTAATCTCATTAATGAATTTAAAACAGATGGTTTAGCTACTATGGCCTTTCCTACATTGTTTCCTTATGGGAAGGGTAACCCTACAAATAGGGCACAACAACATGGTATAACATTAACTGAAGCTTTCAAACATTTAATGAAATTTGCAGAGAGGCTTGCAGATGGTAAGTTTGAATGGAGGTTTGCTTCTCACCCACGGTTTCCTTATTGGACGTTAAATATGAAACAACGGCATCAGCTGTTGTCACAAGCAAATGTTTACTTGCGTCAACATCCTGCTGATGCAAACATGACAATGGAAGAACTGAAGCAGATGGTAAATTCCATGAGTTCAAACCAAATGATGAATAGGTTGCAACGCTATGTGTCCAAAGTACAAGGTACGAATCAGTATTGGTATCAGCGGCTGCAGGAATTGCTAGCCCTGATTGAACAAAAAGGCTGCCCTACATTTCTCTTTACCTTTAGTGCAGCTGACATGCATTGGCCAGACTTACTGAGGCTGTTGCAGAATGATGAAGGTGCAAGCAGATCTGAGCGAGCACAAGCTGTAATCGACAATCCCCACCTAACTGATTGGTTCTTTATGCAGCAGCTGCAGGAGTTTGTCAGACATTGGCTTAATGGCATATTGGATGCTAAGTGGCACTGGTATCGATTTGAGTACCAAGCTAGGGGAAGTATTCATTGCCATGGATGTGCAAAGTTAAAAAATGACCCTGATATTAGAAAATTACGTACTAAGGCACGTGTGTTGCATTCCTGGAGAGTGAGACAACCAGGTACGAAATGTCACCTGATGACTTTGAATTCCTTTGCCCGGATGTGATAAGAAAAATTAACATTTACATATATGTTTACTGTAGACCAAGGTAACTGTGCAGAATCTGTTGTGGGATAATTGTTTCAATAATATTATAAATTTATCCTGGCAACAGGCCTTCAAATGCATGTGCCGGCATTGTAAGTTAAATGCACAATACTGGATCCGAATTATTAGTCATAACATTGAATTTAAATAGTCATAACACTGAATTTTGCATTTTTAGATATCTCTTACTGTACCTGCTACTGAATTTACAGTATTGCAATAGCATTTCAAAATACAGTACCATGAAAACTATACAAGGCATGCTCCCAAAAGTGTGCAGGTCAAATATTCATGTCAACTAAAAAGCGAATTTTGTATTGTGCATGTATTACCACTGCTGCCTATTTTGGATAAAATTATTTAATAATATGACTACTACTGTAAATACTTTATAAAGGCAGGATAAACTTCTGTACACAACTTTTGCCTAAAATTGTCGCATACAACCTGCTTATATATATGTATACAACTTGAGTAAACAATCTGGGTAAACCAAGCACACAACTATGGCTATGACAACGTAAGCAAATTTAATAGTGTGAACTTGTGGTACAAGCAGGTTGCACAAGGCAAAAGTTGTGTAGTCTATTTAAATCTGCCTTAATACACTAAATATAATAACACTCACCAAATATCCAGCTAATAATATATGCAGATAGCCAATCTCCACAATTTTGAAAGGTCTTTTGCTCATATTTTTGATTATTATGCATATTTAATATATTATAATACGGTAGTATTAACTTTAATTGCTACATTAAAATTGAAAAAGTAATAATATTTTACGTGTAAACAAAATTCCTTATAAAATTCCTTAAAAGGTTTCAATTTTCCTGAAAGGAATTTTCAATTTCTTTATTAATTTCTGAAGATTTCATTGGAATGTAAGAAATTACATAAATAGAAAGTGGAAATTTAGCTGTTGGTGATACAGGTTTCACAGGAAAATATTTCACTCAGTCAATGGTGTAATTAAAACTATTTTATGACTAATTTGGTAATATTTGGCTAATAGAACGAGCATGCACATATAATAATAAGTTATGATTATTTTAAAGGTATGTTGACTGGCTGGTGACAACTTTTAATGAGGAATTGCCTGATGAGAACAGGAGGATACCAGATCCTCACCCATCTGCTGTTAGGGCTATAACAGTGGATAATCGTGACAATGATTATCACAGGTTAGTTAATACTGTAGAAAGACACACTAGATGCAGTCCAGCGTATTGTTTGAAACAGAAAAGAGTGGACCTGCTTGCAGAATGCAGATTTGGTTTTCCAAAGCCATTACAAAGGTTAAATTCACACAACAGGGTGATGCTCGAAAGCTGGCGGGTAAATGTAGATTTGCAAGTCATTGTAGATGAGAAGGCTTGTGCAAAATACATGGCTAAGTATGCTGCGAAAGGAGAACCCTGATCGAAATTGGTGTCTGAAATACTAAAATTGTCTGTGTCCTCATTACAGAATGATGATCAAGTCTCTTCAGCCTTCAAGAAAGCAATGATCCAAGTTGCTGGGGATAGAGATATGGTAGCACAAGAAACTGTGCATATGTTACTTAGTCTACCACTGGTTGGCTGCACATTTAGTTTTGTTGCTATTTCTTTAGATAACAGCAGGAAGGTTAATATTGATGCAGAAAACGAAGGCGATGAGGTACTTAAAAAATCTCAGCTACAAGAATATGGAGAGCGTACAAAATTGAAGAGTAGGTATACAGGCTTGTCTCAGCTAAATCTGATGCAATATGTGTCACAGTACACAAAAGTCAAAGGTGAGTTGACAAAACGAGCGAATCCGTACATTGTCAGGACATTTCCAAAGATTTCCGCTAATCCTGCTGGTCCTGATTTTGGAAAATACTGCAAATATCAACTAATAAACTTTAAACCATGGGAGGGTCAACCGTCAAATGCTTGGAACAATGAGGATGAAAGTGATCAAATGTTTATTAATGCATATGAATCTTTTCTTATGACAGATGAATTTGCGGAAGAAAATGTGTTTAGGTATTCCGATGAAAGAGACAGAGTTCATGATGCACAATGTGGTCAAACCTTTGAAAACAATCCAAGTGACAATCAAGATGATGACGACGAAAGTGAAGTTGACCCTGAGGAGGAAGTCGATGATTGGATGTTGTTATGCAGAATTAACCAAGATTATGGTGAAGCAGGTAATCAGATGCCAGACAATGAAGCAGTGGATTGGTTTGAAACGGTAAGAGCTGTGCCTAGAGATTTGTTAAGGGAATTTCCAGGATGGATCTATAGTCAGAGAAAGGAGGATGAATAACATGGTCGGCAATTTCGAAAAGATGATCAAAAATGTGTAATTGATCCGGACACCCTTAATGAAAAACAATGCCTTGCTTACAACAACATCACATCTCAAAATGGTGATAATGCCGAGCCTGTTTATATGATTGTGTGTGGAACAGCTGGCACAGGTAAGACATACTTGATAAGTGCAATAAAACAAGTATTAGCCACTCAGTGTGTTGTTACAGCAACTACTGGGATTGCTGCAGCCTTTAGTATTAATGGTCAAACATTACATTCTGCTGCTCAACTTCCTATCCGTGAATATTGGGATTTGCAGGGTGACTGACTACAGCGGTTACAGCTGAGGCTAGAAGGTAAAAGATTTCTGATTATTGATGAAATGTCAATGATTGGACATAAAATGTTATCATGGCTGGACAATAGATTACGTGCTGGTACTGGAAAGCAAGATATCCCTTTTGGTGGTGTGTCGGTAATTCTAATGGGGGATTTTGGTCAATTACCACCTGTTGGTGATAAGCCAATGTATGTTTCAGGTAACGGAACAGTAGTAAGTGATCATGGACATAGTCTGTATCTGATGTTTGAGTCTGTCATTATTTTAGATCAAGTTATGCGTCAGGCTGGTGAGGACCCCACGGCAATTGCTTTTAGAGCCTTGCTGATGAGAATGCGAAATGGAGAAGTGACAGGGGAGGACTGGAAACTATTGTTGGAGCATTCAACAACAAATGTACCAATGGATCAATTCACTGATGGCATCCGATTGTACTTTGACAAGAAAAGTGTTGCTGAATACAATTACAAGAAGTTATTGCAGCTTGGACAACCTGTTGCTAAAATTCAGGCCAAGCATTCTGGTTGTGGTGCCAGTGCGGCCATGCCGGACGAAGCTGGTGGATTGGACGCTGTTCTGTTTTTATCCACAAAAGCAGAAGTAATGCTCACTTGCAACCTGTGGGCTGAAGTTGGTCTCTGCAATGGCTCATTTGGCACTATCAAGCAGATTTGGTTTGCAGAGAATATGGGTCCACCAAACCTGCCAATAGCAGTATTGGTACACTTCCATAGTTACTCTGGTCCTGCATTCCTAGATGCATGTTCTAAATGTATACCTGTGCCACTGAAAGTGTTTGAATGGGTGGCTGATGGAAAGTACTTGTCAAGGCAACAAGTGCCCTTGCGGTTAAGGTATGCAATGACTATTCATAAGTCACAAGGACAGACACTAACAAAAGCTGTTGTTGATTTAGGTAAAGGAGAAAAAGTTGCTGGATGCACATTTGTAGCTACATCGCGGGTAAGATCGATTCATGATATTGTGTTTGAACCTATGACATTTGATCGCCTCAAAGCAATTGGTAGAAGTAAAAATATGCAAAAACGACTCGAAGCTGAACAGCGACTTAAAGTGCTTGCAGAGAAAACTGTCCAAACATATAGTACAAGTACGTCATGAATTGTCATAGAGTGGTGTTTGAGCATCATCAGTATACTGGGCACATATACTGTGCTTTCGAGGTTATTTCGCCTGTTACTAGGCACAATTTTAGGTGTAGTACACAAGTTTCAAATCACACCATCAGGGCCGCTTAGAAGGGGAGGTTGCAAATGGGGCAATTTGCCCGGGCCCCCAGATCAAGGGGGGGGGGTCCAAAAGGTGTCATTTTAAAAAATTATTTGGAGCATGTTTTATATAAGTAATGGTATGAGAGAAATTTTTTAGACCTTAAATTTATAGGTATTGGTCAGAAAAAATGTGTTTTAGGTGTGATTTTATAAGTATTTGTATGGAAAATGTTTTGAACCCAATTAATTTTAGTTGTGTTAGTCCGGAAATTTTTTTTTAAAATTGGAATCTTTTGGATATGCTTGAGAAACCCCCCCCCCCCACTTGCCAACATTTTTTTGAAAAAATATGGCCCAAATTTAAATTCGCCCAAGGCCCCCAAATTTCTCTGTGCAGTCCAGCCTAGTCCCTAAGCCTCTTAGTTCGCCTATTGCGCGTTTCTGCATATTAATAAGGTGACGGCTCCTGAGAGGCCTAGAATAAAATGTTTCAAGTGAGCCAAAAGTGGGGACAAAGTGTCCCCACTTGCTGTATTGAGATCAGTGGCTTTCGAAAATGGCGCTGTTCTCATGAGCGAGTAAAATGTTTATAGATTTGTATCAAATTGACTTTTATATTTGCGACAAGTTGGATTAAAATTTTGTGGTTTTAATATATATTGAATAGAAGCAGTGGTACATAAATTAATATACTGAAAAGACAATGTAGTAAAGCGGAATTGATGCTGACAAAAAACAAGAAATCGGTGAGAAATATTTTTAAATATAGAAGGTGAGAATTTATTTATCGATATCCTGGGATACCTCTGCTGTATAAATGTAGAATATTAACTAAATACATGGTAAATATAGTAATGATATTTATCAATGCACTATTGAAATGCATGTATTCACTTGTGTTAACAAGAACGTTTGAATATTTGCGAGCTTTGCGAATTTATAGATCAAAATATAGATCTGTTATGTACTTGCCAACAATTTTTATTTTATAATTTTTGTTTGATGTTTAGGAAATGTTTTACCTGTGGCAGAAAATTAAAATGGTGCCAATGTGCCATACAGGCATATACAGGGACAGTTGTCAAGAAAATATATAATTAAACAAGGTCATATTTGAAGAATTTGGTGAAAGTGGTATTTGTGAGTGACCAAGTTCAGGCAAAAGACATATTGGACAACATGGATGTACATAATTTTGCTGTTCATCTATTTCGTCAAGTCAGGAAATGGCCGAACTACAGTCTGCATAGTGTCATATTTGTAATATTTTCAAACAAGATTCACCTGATCACCACCCAACAATGGCTTGTTGTTGGACTTCCAGGAACACCGGTATTCTAGTTTATATTCAAATGTTACTTGTTCGAACTAGTTTGTGTTAGAACATTCACAAGGTACAGCATCTAATTCTTATTAGAATGTAAAAACTGAAGCAACAATTTCAACAAGAACACTCCAGGCAGGCACATGTGAACAGGAATAGAATAAAATTTGGAGGTTAATATTGTTAATAAGGGGGGACTTAACCTAAATTTGGATCAAGGTAGCAAAAAAAAATTTTTTTGAAAATCTTATACCTCAGGCATAGAAGAATACTGTGAAAAGTGTTTAGTAATGGAATTTGCACTATTCCGTTGTTTTTTGTGCATTTTAAAAAACTCGTAGTCTGGTTGCCATGGATACACAATGAATAATTCACTTGTTTATCCACGAAATTTCGCCTAAAACAGACAAATATGTTCGGAAAAAAGGGGGAAATTATTGTAAATATGAGTGACTATATATTGCATATTACATGACGTACATCTCCTGTTTCTAAGCCCGCATTTACTCATGGGAAAACGTGTCACAGCATTTACATATATACTGGACAAGAAGTCATCGAATAGAGAATTTTTAGCAACAAAATTTAAGCTTAAAATGACAGGAACAAACCATAGATCTCAGTACAGAAAGAAAAGAAAGGGAAATGCTTTTGCTGGAGTTCAAAAACATGCTAAAAAAGTAAGGAAAACATCGCTGAAAGAATCTGAAATCACACAGTCAACACCGAGTTCAGCATGCGGTCAATCATCGTCAAGTTCCAAATGTGATGAACCGATAAGCGCATCCCGACTGAAAATGAGGCCACAAAACTCTTCAGATTGTCCCTCAAACAGTTTGGATGATGGAGAAACTGTTCAGAGCGAGGGATACAGACTTGTAGACCTGAAGAAATTGTCATCAACTCTGTCAGAAGCCCACGTATGTGAAGAAGGTAAGAACTCTGAGAAACAAAACACTGTTTGCTCAGTGCAAATGATGTTGTATGGCAAAATGTGTGTTGTAGTTGAATTTGGTTTACTTTTTTATTCGAAATTTTCAAAGTTTGTAAACATTTTGATTGCATCTGTCTAGCATGTTTGTAACAGTTTGTTTATGTGCCAATTTAAAATTGGAAATTTTTGTAAATGCATATGTTATGGAATGTGGTTTTAATTTTCAATGTTATTGCATCCTAGGTCATTTAAATTTGAAAGAAAATTCATCAATGAGAAGTGGATTGATGTCTGACCTTTCTGCTGAATGTAGCTCGTGCTCCGAGGCTACATCACTGAAAACATCATCTTCTGTAACCAATCAAGGGCAATCATTTGATGTGAACCGACGTGCTGTTTACCATTCTTTGGAGACAGGTGGTGGCTATGAAGGGCTTGTTTCATTTTGTAGTATCATGAATATGCCCTGTATTTCATCTGCTGCCTACTACAAACTAGTTGACACCATACTTGTGGCTCAAGAAGCTGAAGCCAAGGATGAAATGCAACAGGCAAGTCAACGACTTCGAGATTATATCTTCCAAGAAAATGGAGAGAAAAATTGTGATGATGTTGTTGTCGATGTAGCTGTTTCCTTTGATGGGACATGGGCCAAAAGAGGGTTTACTTCCTTAACTGGGGTAGTCTTTGTACTAGCTGTAGATACTGGAGAAGTTCTTGACTACCATGTACTCTCCAAAGAATGCCGTAATGTACAATGAAGAAAAGCCGATGTAAAACTGATAAGGAGTTTGAAGAATGGCAGATTGAACATATATCCTCCAATCAGTGTGATATCAATTTTACAGGCAGCTCACCTGCAATGGAGGCTGAAGGTGCTAAAATATTGTGGAGCAGGTCTGTGGAACTTCACAAAATTCGGTACAAGTGGATGGTTTGTGACGGCGACAGTAAAGCCCATGCTGCTGTTGAGGATACATATGATGAATGCAAGGTTGAAAAGTTAGACTGTGTAGGACATGTACAGAAGAGAATGGGAAAACATCTGATGAATCTTAAGTCAACTACCAAGGGCAAGCTTGCTGATGGCGAATCTATCGGAGGACAAGGCCGCCTGACAGAGGTCAGGATCAAGCGCATCCAAAGATACTACGGACTTGCTATAAGACAAAATACTTTAAAAAAGGCACACCCAACTGAAAGTGAAGTTAATGTTGCTGTGTACACCATGAAGAAAAATATTATAGCTATCCTTCATCACTCCATTCAGTCTAAAGACCTGGCTAAACAACATCGCTTTTGTCCTGTTGGAGAGTCTTCATGGTGCAAATGGCAACAAGACATTGCTACTGGAACGAACACCTACAAGCCAGATGATTGTCTACCAGGAGTGTTCTGTGATTTGTTGAGTCCAACTTTTATGACATTGAGTGAGAGCAAGCTTCTTGAGCGATGTGTGCGTGGTGCCACACAAAATCGCAATGAGTGTATCAATGCACTGGTATGGGCTCGCTGTCCGAAGAACAAGCACCATGGTGTCAAATCTGTCCGTTGTGCTGTAGCCTCTTCCGTCTGTCACTTTCACAGTGGGGCATCTTCTAAAGTAAGGGTGATGGAAAGACTTTCCATCCCAGCTGGAGTCTTTACCAAACAGGCATCAGCAAGAAAGGACAAAAGGCGTATCAGGAAAGCAGATAGACAGACAACTGATAAGGCTAAGAGACAACGACAAGGAGTCCAGTTGCTGCGAACTCGCCGTGAAGAAGCCCTGCAGGAAGCCGAGGGAGTGATGTATGAAGCAGGAGCCTTTTAACATTTTCAAATTACAAAAATATACAGTTTATGTTACAGTTTTATGCAATTTTAGAACACTTAGGGCCATTTACAACCTTGTACATTTGCATGCTATCTTTCGATCCATTTTTCTCGGAATGTGCTTTTTGCGACTTTGAGTAAGGATATCTTGAGACCAATATAACTGATTGACTTGAAATTTTCAATATTAATTGCTTGCACCGAGTTTTTGGTAATGAGCATAGGATTTTTGTGTGTGGTATTTGCATCAAAAGATATGGAAAAAATGCTGACAAAAATAGCAGGTAAAAATTTAGGTATAATTCACATGGCTGCAGACACAAAAGTATTCAGAATTTTGAAAAGTTCTATGCTCATTACCATAAATAACCTTTCTGCCTTAGATTAATGGGAAAAAAATCAAATTCCATCATATCTGAGGCAAGATATCTTTACTCAAGTAGTTTGTAGTAGCATAGAGTGTCAAATTACAATGTTTGATCAGTATCAGGTTACAAATTAACTATGTGCAAAAATAAATCTTAGAACTAGATTCTATGACTTATAAGCTTTCTGCTGATAGTTAGTTTTGTATGGTTTGCATTAAAACCCTTGCTGTTATGAGACATTGTTTCAAGGACACCATTTTTAGGTAAATTAATACATAATAATAAATGTATTTATTGTAATAAAATTATGAAATTTATTATTAAAATTAATATTGAATTTTTAATTTATTAAATTGTTGAATATGATATTATTACAGCTCCATTAAGCAGAATAAGCCCCAAACATAGGCCCCAAAGCATCATCTTTTATTAGTTACTCTGCAGAGAAAGCATCTATTACAATTATTATTTTTTTATATACATGTAAAATATCCAAAAACTTTCTCCATGACAGGTTGCAAATCACTTGAAGGTGAGAAAGGCCAATAAACCAATCCAAGCCCTCTTCAACAGATATCTCTTGTGATACATGTCACTGGAATATTGCTTAATTTTTATATTGCACTCAGTGATGGTTGCTTTTTCCAGAAAAATGACTTTGTACACTTGACCATCAACCTGCATCAAATCACTATATAATCATAATAATATTAATACTCAATACAAGTACTCTTTATTGCTGTGGATATTGTTACTGCAATATTTGCCTTTTATGCTCAAATGAATCCACATCTCTATGAACAAAAGGGCTAAATTGTCCTGGCAGTGCACCATTTAACACCCGTATTCTAAAAGCTCGCTCACACTCAGTGAGTGGAGGTTTAATCTGAGCTTGCTTTGAGTGCCAATGCTATTTTTGAACAGCTGGAGGGCTAGTGTCACCTCATACTCAGTGACTACTTTTCTTATTCCAAAACAGCATGGACACTCAAGAGAAGCTCAGATTGAACCTCCACTCATCGAGTGTGCTTTTAGAATACGGGCATAAATCTCTCTATTTAAATGCATCTGTAGTCCATCTAGCAGGAATCAAACCTGCGTCTCTGTGATTCCGGTCCAGTGCTCTAACTAAGCTACAAAGTCCAGG